AGAGGGGAATTAGTGGGTTGGCGGAGAAGAGGGGGAGGGGTAGCGGGGGAGGGAGGAGGAGGTAGTGTTGTTAGTATTGTAGGGATGTTGGGGTGGCGGGGTGAAATGATTGCGTGTATGATCGGTGTTGTGAGCGTGTGAATGATTATAATGATTTTGTGGATTCCGGGAAGAGTATTGATCGTATTGACCCTGTTGATTGTAGTCATCTTGCCGGTCGTACGCATCATCGTAACCTTGTTGTTGACTGGCTGCATGGTGGCGGCCATATGCCTGCTGGTTGGCTTGTTGGTGTTGTTGGCCGTAGCCATTGTTTCTCCCGCTGCCTGGTGAGACATGGCCGTATGTGTCTCCAGCTGTTGAATACTGATGCTGCGGCGCATACATTGCATGCTGTGGCGCGGGGCTGCGGCGCGGGGGCACCGCATTCGCATTCGCACTCGCATTCGCACTCGTGTATCCATCCTGTGAGTTTTGATAGCCAGGTGGAGGAAAGCCATAGCTATCCGCCATGGGACTCACAGGTGACCTTGCTGGCCCGGGGCTCTTCCTCGCCGCACCTGTACCTGCAGCACCACCGGCGGCAGAACGACGGGCACTCGCCATACTGCCATTCCGATCCAACCGGTTCAACTCGACATCGCCCTTCTTCTCCGGCACCGCCTCTTCCACCTGGACATGCACATCCCGCCCACCCTTCCACGTCGGCATCGCCGGCAGAGAATCCTCATTCACCACCGCCCGCGTACTATCAAACGTCGCAAACTGCGGCCGCTCGGGTGCATGGCCGCCCGGGGGCCCGTACGTCGGCATCGCGTTGGAGCGGTACTGCTGGTTGACGGGCCGGGTGTCGATGGAGGGCCGTGGCGCAACGGCGTGGGCTTGGGCGTAGGGGTTGTTGGGAGGGATAGGCGCGCTTCCGCCTCCGCCTCCTCCTTGACCGTAGTGGGCTGGGTAGGAGGCGGAATGGTATGGTGGTGCTGCTTCGCTCTTGATGCGCTTATGACTTGAGCGGCCGCCGCTGCCGCAGCAGCACGAGCAGCAGCGGAAACAGCAGCATGCGCATTCGGCGCCGCAGCAGATACAGCGGGCTATGCAGGTGACGACGGAGATGAGGATGAGGGAGGCGACGATGATGGCGACGATGACGGGCCATCTGGTGTGTCGCGTAAGTCATGGTGGTTGCGCAGGATTGGGGAAGGGAGAGGGGAAGGAGGGGGCGGTAAGACTGACTTGCAGTAGCTCTTTGCCATGCAGTTGTCCCATGAGGAGATTGTATTCCTCGCATCGTCGAGCGGGTTTTGTCGCGCGAAGAGTGACGACGGCATTGCGGTGAGGAGTGGTGGGTTGGCTGGATGCAGCAACAACGGCGCACTGCACTACACTGCACTGCAATACGCTGCAATGTATGGTACAGCGTCCGTTGTGTACCGGCGGTAGGGCGGTATATCGTCTATATCCAAAGAGAGAGAGAAGAGAGAGTCAATGTGTAGGTCTCTCTCTCTGTCTCTCTCTGTCTCTCCCACTTCCCCCAGGCTTTGGGCGAGTGAGGTATGGAAATTCGGCCGGCGAATAATCCGGCGTTATCAATGAAGCGTCGTAATAAACGGGTTCCCCTAAGTAAGAAGTGTCCAAGAGATGGACACGGTGGTTTGCCCCAATTGCCCAGCCAGGGGGGGGGGATGTGGTGCGCAACCTAATCTGAATGAATCTAAACCGTTCATAGTACTCTAGTCGTCAACCTGGGAACTTACCCAGTCGTCAATGTGTACATGGCATGTTCTCCATGCTGCAAACAAGGAAAATGAATGCACACACTTGCACATGCGCATGCACACATGCACCCTTGACCAGCCACTCATCCATGACCCAAGAACCAAGAAGCCCCGCGCTCCCTCTCCGTCAACACAGAGCCCACGGGCGCATCGCATGCACCCTCGCCACTACATCCGGCGCGCGCACGCCCAAAACTCCTGTACAGCAAGTCCATCCACTCACCTCTGCGACCCGGACGAATAACACTTGCCCTCACCTCTCCTCTCCCGCGCCCGCACAATGACATGAACCGCTCCCCTTCCGCCCACTTCCCAAAGCCTGCAACAGGCTATGATGACCTCTGGCACTGTACCTACCATCCCAGCCGAAACGAGTCTGCATGGGAGAAGTAACAACTTCCCAGCTCAGAAGGGGCGACAGCCAAGCGAGCGAGTTCGGCAAAGCGCCAAGCCCCAGTTCAACGGCCCTGAGACAATGCATGTAATAGCCTTCACGCGTTTCAGGCGCTGGGCTTGCGCTGCCTACTTGCTCGTCCTATCGCGTAGATTGAGCGTCATGAGTTTGATCGTGTGGATCCAGTAGATGGACCCATGATTCGGTCCATGGAAACTGCGGACAAAGTGAAAGGGACGGACGATTATGGAATTTCATGTTCATTCATGTCCCCACCCGTGTCTGCAACACGAGCCATGCATGTCCTCGACACTAGCTACCGTTTGTCTACCAAGCCAGCCCTGTGTGTGCTCGCATCTTTTTATTTGTTCAGCTCGGCAGCCCTCTTCTTGAGATCCTCCTTGCTCTCGGGCGTAGGAAGGTTGTCTGCCATGACGGGTCCCTGCCTGTCTGTCAGCCTGTCATGCTCGCGTCCACTGTTCATGTACGTACTGGGTTCCTCTTGTGCGCCGCGGCATGGACGTTTCCGCCACTGCTCGCACCGGTATCGACGTCGTGCAGCTGAGCGGATGAGGCGTTGGAGTCCTTGGAGTCCTTGGCGACTTGGTCGGTGATGCCTGGGGTGTGTGAGTTTGGTGTACTACAACAGGAAGTCGTGTGCATGGGTTGCTCAGAGACCCGACATGTGTACGAGAGCAAGGCGAACTTACTACCGCCAGCCGTTTCCTCGGCAGGGTGAACAGGCATGATGGGTTGCTTTAGGTCTTTTGAATCTCCTTTTGCTCGTTGCTTCGTTGAACGACTTGCTTGCCGCCTACGTTGCAGAAGTCTCTTCTAAACGCCTGGATCTTCTGCTCTTCCGTAGCTTCAACAAGGCTGCCTCGAACGTGCAAGGCCTCGACGTCTTTTTCCAGTGTAGTGGCAGACTGGTCTTGGGTATCACCACCGATGAACAGAGTGCAAGATGGGTAGTTCTCGTAGTAGGCTTGAATGCGGTCGGAAGGGGAGGAAGAGGCCGACATGGTGAGATGGAGGCGTTCAGTAGGCAGTGCCAGTAGGGGGAATTGCACGGGATCGATGACGCAACCGAGGAGAGTTGACGGGTTGGAGTGGAGTGGAGTGAAGGGAAGGTGGGGGCGAGGCATTGTCTTGCTTGCCTTGGATGCAGAAACAGGCCAATGGTGTCACGTGTCTAACTATTTGGGTTCGTGTGCGGGGTAGAGCTCTGTCACACAAGTCTGTCTGTACTGTACTGTGCTCTACTGTACCCACCTGGATACCTACACCGTCTAGTCGTCCTTTGGGGCTTCAAAGCTGTATACTCTCTTAGATTGGCTTAGATTGGGTTGGATACCATGTGAAGTGTGAAGATGGGTATGTACAAGTCCCCCTCTGCAGCACCACGTGAATGTCAATGTGAAAAGAGACTTTGTTTCCACCCATGTCGGGATCGTGATGCTTGGACAGGACATCGATGGGCACATCTCTCTCTCTCTCTCTCTCTCTCCCTCTTTGTTGCTTGTTCTTTGGTGGAGCCATGTCTTGGATGACTACACATGCTGATCGCTTTCCAATCCGCGTCCTAGCTATCTAGTTAGTATCGGCTTGGTAATGGGGATTTATCCTCTTATAAAGACAGGTGCGTTGGTGTTGCAACAACAGGGAGCTTGCCCATGTGAGACCTGAGTCGGGCCATGTTCCTTTGTCAGATCTGACTTGTCTTATCAATCCATCCGTCAGTTTGTCAAAAGGAAAAAGCAAATGTCAGAATCATGCCATTCTCCCTCGTCACATGTTTCACCTTGACCTTTTCAGCTCGAATCGTCGTCCTTTTGAGTCAAGGAGCGAAAAAGCTAGGACGCCGATCACTCGAACCGGATCGAGCTTTTGGCGGGCGGATTCGCTAGCCGCACGTGGAGGTTGCGAACAGGCGATCAGCCGCGGGACGAAGGGGTTGCAGATCATGGCTAGAAAGCCTCACTCCTGAGGACTTGGAGTCGATGCAAAGTGGGAGAGCTGGTCAGAGAGGCCGAGAGAGGGGGGCTGGCGGGGAGAATGGTCCAAGGGGCCCTGTGTTGTATGGGGCCTGGTTTGGGGTAACCTTGGCTTGATCGGATATTGGCTTGCCATGCCATGTCCAGTGGACAGCTCTCTTGGGCGCTCTTGGCCTTTTGGCCAGGACGCAAGACTGGAGAGAATTGGCTTGGGTCCATGTCTGTCGAGGCAAGAGTCACGAAAGAGCATAAATGACGCGTGCGGCGTGGTGGATTGGACAAGCTACTGTCCATGGTCTGGAACGGATATAGCAGACACAGATATAGGTCGACGGGGCGAAGCGCTCGCTCGTCGCGCTTATACCCCGCTGTGGAGTACAGTACGGTACACAAGGTAGATGGGCGATATGGTAGATGGGTAATTAGTACGTGTGATATAGGTAGGACCAGGTAGGTAGGCGAGAGATCCCAGGAGATCCAAGACTATATCGCTGCTGCGTCGCTGACCCTCGCCCTGCCACTTTTGCCCAGAGACTCGATGTCGTCTCTGAGATGCTGGTGCGGAAGCGGAGACTGCGGCTGGATTCCGCACGAATGCTGGACTTGTGCGTGTTGTATTGTAGCATGCATGTCGAGTAGTATAAGCTGTGTGTAGAGTACTCCGTGTACCTATTTTGCAGGATAGCCTGCACACAGCCCATATACAGCGTGTACACAGCTTGTGCCACAGGACCATGCAAGTAGTGCATGATAGTCCATGGCAGAGTGTGTACAGTGCACAAGGATTGACGGCAGAGGGTTCCGCTTTGGTCGCGGACCATGGCCAGTAAA